CTTGTATGTTGAAAACTATAGAACATTGCTGTAAGAAATTAAACAAAAAAGGCATCCTGTACTCATGGACTGGAAGACAGTGGTTAAAATTCCCATACTACCTAAAGAAATTACAGAGTCCATGTGATCCCCATTGCAATCCCTCTCAAAATCCCAAAGACATTTTGTGTATGAATTGCAATAGATCCTAAAAAGCCAGAACAATCCTGAAGAAAAAAAGGTTGGAAGACTCACATTTCTTGATTTCAAAAGTTACTATATACAAAGCTACAGTAATCAAAACAGTATGGTACTGGCATAAAGACAGCTATGTAGACCAATAGAATATAAGAGAAGCAAACCCCCACATAGTCAAGTGTTTTCAACAAGGGTGCCAAGACCATTCTTTAACAAACGGGGTTGGTAAAGTGAGTATCTGCATACAAAAGGATAAGTAGACCATGTACAAAAGATAATAAAACTCAGGGGAATGCTTCAAGACATTGGATTTGGTAATGATTTCCCAAATATAACGCCAAAAACACATGCAGTAAAAGAAAAAATAAACTGGACTTCATCAAAATTAAGAACTTTTGTGTATCAAAGGGCCCTATAACAAAGTGAAAAGGCAACCTGTGGAATGGGAGACACATTTCTAAATCATATCTGATAAGGGATTGATATCCAGAATACATAAATGACTCCTATAACTAAACTACAAAAACAGATTGAAAAATGGCAAAGGACTTAAATAGACATTTCTCCAAAGAAGACATATAAAATGGTCAATATACATAAGAAGGTCAGCATCCTAATCACTAGAGAAATGTAAATCAAAACCGCAATGAGATACCACCTCACACCCATCGGGATGGCTATTATAAAACAATACAAACACCAGAAAATAACAAGTCCTGGTAAGGATGTAGAAAACTTGGAACCCTTGTGCACTGCTGGTGAGAATGTAAAATAGTGCCGCCCTGTGGAGATGGTATGGTGGTTCCTCAAAAAATTAAATACAGAATTACTATATGACCTAACAATTCCACTTCTTGGTATATACCCAAAAGAACTAAAGGCAGGGACTTGAGCAGATATTTGTACACTCATGTTCACAGTGGCATTATTCACAATAGCCAAAAGGGAGTAACAACCCAAATGTCCATGGCTGGGTGTATATACCAAATATGGTATATCCACACAATGAAATATTTTTCAGCTTTAAAAAGGAAAGCAATTGTGACACATGCTACAGTGTGCATGAACCCCGAAGACATTATACTAAGTAAAATAAGTCAACACAAAAGGACAAATATTCCATGATTCTACTTCTATGAGGTATCCAGAATAGTCAAATTCAATACCACTGAATTGTACACTCAAAAATTGTTAAAATGGTTTTATATATATGTATATCATCACAATAAAAAAAAAAATCAATAAATCTAATTGTGTTAAGTAGAATAATGACTCACAAATATGTCCACATCCTAATTGGAACCTATGACTGTGTTACGTTAACATGGCAAAAGAGAACTAAGGTTGCAAAGGAATTAAGGTCACTAATAAGCTGATTTTAAGACAGGAAATTATTGTATCACATGAGTTCTTTTTTTTTTTTTTTTTTTTAATTTTTTTTTTTCAACGTTTATTTATTTTTGGGACAGAGAGAGACAGAGCATGAACGGGGGAGGGGCAGAGAGAGAGGGAGACACAGAATCGGAAGCAGGCTCCAGGCTCTGAGCCATCAGCCCAGAGCCCGACGCGGGGCTCGAACTCACAGACCGCGAGATCGTGACCTGGCTGAAGTCGGATGCTTAACCGACTGCGCCACCCAGGCGCCCCTGTATCACATGAGTTCTTAAAAGCCAAAGAGGAAGGTAGGAAGGTGGGTCAAAGAGATGCAATGTGATACAAGAAAGATACTGTCACTAGGTTTGAAGATGGAAAAAGGCCCCAAGCCAAGAAATGAAACAGTCCAAGAGGCCAGTGTATTAGTTTCCTATTGTCTCTAGAACAAAATATTACAAACTTAGTGGCTTAACACAATTTGTTATCTTACAGTTCTGCAAATCAGCAATATGACATCAGTTTCACTGGGTTGAAATCAAGGTGTCAGCAGGGTGGCATTCTCTCCAAAGGCTCCAGGGGACAGAAAATCTCTTCCCTTGTCTTTATTAGCTTCTAGAGGCTGCCTAAATTCCTTAGCTCATTGTCTGGTATCAGATAATAACCTCTATCCTGTTGTCACATCTCCCTCTCTGCCCAACTCTTCTGCTTCCCTCTTTCACTTATAAGGATCCTTGTGATTACACTGGGTCTACCCAGATAATACAGGAGACGCTTCCATCTCAAGATCCTTAATCACATCTACAAAACCCTTTTGGCCTTGTAACATTCATAGGCTCTGGGGATCTAGGACATGGACATTCTGCCTACCACAGCTGGAAACAGCCCTCAGCTTATAGCCAGCAAAAACATACAGGCCTCAGTCCTAAAATGGCAGGGTACTGAATTCTACCAACCTAAATGAGTAAGAAATGGATTCTTCCCTAGAGCCACCAGCAAGGAACAGAACATGCCAATACCTTGACTTTAGCCTGTGAGAATGTACTGGGCCTCTGACCTACAGAAATGTTGTTCTAAGCCACTAATATTGTGATGATTTGATATGGCAGCAACAGGAAACGAATACAGTAATCAATCATAATACAGGATAAAGGAGAAAAAACATCTTATTTCAGTGGATAAACATTTTAAATATTCTCAGCAATTAGAGATAGAAGAAAACTTCTCTAACTTGATAGAAAGCAGCTTACATCATACTTAATGGAGAAAGATTGAATGCTCCCCCCCGCCCAAGAGCAGATTAAGGTATGACTATCTACTCCTACCACTTCTGTTCAACATTGCACTGCAAATCCTAGCCAGTGTAACAAGAAACAGGAAAAGGGGTGGGGACAGAGGGAGGCATACAAATTGGAAATACAAATCCCTACTTGCAGATGATATGATCACGTATGAAGAAAATCTATGAAAGAGCTATTATTACCCATAAACTAAGCAAGGTCACAGAATACAAAGTCAGTCTACCAAATCAACTGTGGAATACCAAGCAATGAAGAATTGGGAATTGAAAATTTTTAAAAACTACTTTTTTAAAAGTTTATTTATCTTTGATAGAGAGAGAGAGGGTGTGCATGTGCACATGCATGGGAGAGGAGCAGAGAGAGGGAGAGAGAGAATCCCAGGCAGGCTCCTCACTGTCAGTGCAGAGCCCAACATGGGCTATCCTTATGAACTGTGAGATCATGACCTGAGTGAAAATCAAGAGTCAGATGCTTAATTAAGCCACTGAAGCACCCCACAACTAGTATGTATAGTGTCATAAAAATAGTAAATACCTAAGGACAGTATTAGCAAAGTATGGGCAAAACCTATAGACTGAAATATAAAGACCTAAGTAAATGGAGAGCTGTGTGATATTCATGAGTTGGAAATGTCGATTCTGAATTGCTCTATAGATTAAACACCATTCTCATCAAATTCCTGGCAAGCTTTTATACAAATTCCTGGCAACCTACAAAACATTGTGGAAAGAAGTAAAGACGACACAAATAAATGGAAAGGCATCCTGTATTCATGGATTGGAAGAGTTAATGTTGTTAAAATTCCATACTACCCAAAGTCATCTATAGATGCAACACAACCTCCATCAAAATCCCAATGACACTTTTTACAGAAATAGAAAAAAAAATCCATACTAAAATTCACATGGAATCCCAAAGGACTCTAAAGCGCTAAAACAATCCTGAGAAAGAACAAAGCCAGAGGCCTCACACTTGCTGATTTCAAAACATATTACAAAGTTATAGTAATCAAAATAGTATGGTACTGACTATACTAAGACAAACATATAGACCAATGGAATGAAATAACCGAGAAATAAATCTTCACATATGTGGTCAAATGATCTTCAAAAAGGATGCCAAGACCATACAATGGGGAAAGACCACACACTTTTCAAATGTCCACTGAATATCCTAACAAAAACTGTCAAAATTGTTCTTTTTCATGTTCATAAAATATTCTCATTGATTAATTCTGCTTTGGATCACACATACCATAAAAATAACCCTAAGTAATGGGTAATAATAGAAAGAAATAAGTACTAAGATATCAGTGCAATGATATTTACAAAATAAAGATTTCTACTGTTTGGTGTTTGTATATGTTTGCAAGAGTCAAAATGTAGCATAGAGCCACAGTTGAATAAAGTTATTTAGGCTAAGTCAATATTTAGAAGTGTATAAAGTATTACACAAAGATAAAAAAAAAATATGGATTCACTGATTACAACTAGATAAAGTATGTATGCCTATGTCTATTGACAAAGATTAGAAATTAATGTGGAATGATGCAACTTCATAATCTTTAAATCTTATTCCTGTAAGGTTGTTTAAATTCATGGTAGACAAAATAAACATAAGAGATCTCAACAGTCTATCTCAAAAACAGTATTTTAACTTGCATTCTTGTAACCGAACACGCATCTCACAAGTTTAAGTAAAGCTTGTAAAACTTATTCCTTTTGTCCTAACCTACTCCATCCAGTTTTATTACAAAATATATAATGTTCAGGGCACCTAGGTGGCTCAGTGTGTTGAGCATGTAACTCCTGATTTCGGCTCAGGTCATGGTCTCACCATTCATGAGTTGGAGCCCCATGTCAGGCTCTGTGCTGACAGTGTGGAGCCTGCTTGCAATTCTCTCTCTCTCCCTCTCTCTCTGCCCCTTCCCAACTGGTTCACACACACTCTCTCAAATAAACATTTAAAAACAAAAGAAATATATAATGTTCAACAGTTTACTTCAGATTAAATGACTTAAAAAAACTTATGAGCTATAAAACAGAGATTTAAAAAACTTTCCACATTTAAACAAACTTCTGTAAACTATCTACATCATTTATTCATTTAGCACACAACACGGCCTCAAACTTACAAAAGCATCATACATACCTGATGCAATGACAGGATCTTTCATAAGCTCCCTAGTTATTGGACATAGAAATTCATCAGGAATTCCAGAAGAAAGGGTTTTCACCTCTGTCCTGAGCTCTTCAATTTTCCTCAGCACTTTACTCCGCAGCCCTAGAGATTCTGGAAAGAAATTATTCTGTCAGGGTGGGAGAACCTCTGGTAACCTTTATGCAAGTCTTTAGCAAATAGAGAGGTTATCTATTACAACCCAAAATCTTCACACATACTGTTTGACCACATGGAATGGTTTTCTTTATAAATTCTTTAACCAATATTTATAGTACAGAATATCGTGTGGTTAAAATAAATCAGCAACTAATGGTGAGTTTATTCTAAACAAGCTTAGATTCTAAAAGTTTGAGAATTTCAGACTGCTGAATAGTAATATACCGTACAACCTTAGAAAAGGCTTGTTGTTATTGGTTATGTATTTAAGCAAAAAATTTCCTAAGAACAATTTTTAAACATCTTCAGTTTAATAATGGAAAAATTCCATCTTATATGTAAAACATTTTTGAAATTGGAAATATTATTGGCCGATCTCATATGAAACACAATCATGAAGCTCATCTGTTTGTCCCAGACTGTACACACAAGTTAAACTCACTCATTTGCATTTTTACTTTATCAAGTTTTAAAAATTACCTTCATTTTCAGCTTCTGGAAGTTGAGAGTAATTAATTGTAGGAGGTTTAGTGTTATTAGCTGTTTATCTTTTTAGAACTGACAGTTCTACTTTATTTTTTTTTTAACGTTTATTTATTTTTGAGACAGAGACAGAGCATGAACGGGGGAGGGTCAGAGAGAGAGGGAGACACAGAATCTGAAGCAGGTTCCAGGCTCTGAGAGGTCAGCACAGAGCCCGACGCGGGGCTCGAACTCACAGACCGTGAGATCATGACCTGAGCCGAAGTCGGACGCTTAACTGACTGAGCCACCCAGGTGCCCCAGTGACAGTTCTACTTTAGACAGAGACATGTGAAGGTAGGGGGGTGGGTAGAAGAAAAAAATTACATTTCACAACACCTCACAGTTTTCATGAAAAGCCAAATCAGCTTTTTATTTTGTTGGGAGGCAATTCTTCAGGGTGTTTATACACCCCTTATGATGACTTTTTTGCAGTAATTTTTGTCCTTCCCAGTCAGAGGGCAGATTTGTTCTGTGATAGGTACAAAGATAAAATGACTCTTGGGCTAGGTTTGCTAGCAATCCCCTCAAAAGATGAAAGAGTTTCGTGAGCTCAGGGTATCTCCGCTATGACACAGACACAAACTGCCCTCACAAAACTTCGGCAGGAAAGAAAAACCTTGAAGCTCATGCTGCTTGCTGTGCCCTGAGGAATACACTGTTTAAATCTGTTCGGATTCGTTGCCCACAATCTACGGAAGTGTGGCAAGTCAACCTAGCAGCCGCCTGCCTCTTAGGGACTATGGCACTGCTTTCCTAGGAATTCTTTCCTATGTAATTCACCGAAACCAAATTGAAGAGTTTTTAAACAGTTTTTTAAAAGTACCACAACATGTTTACAATTAGAAGTCATCTCATTTAAAGGGATAGTTATACAACATACAAGAAAAAGATATAGAAGCATTTAATATTATGAAAAATATAGATTTCCCTGTCAAAAATATGGGTGCTAATATTTAGAATGCTTATGATTTTTATAATAGAGAACACAGAAAACCTATTTCAAAATGCCCCCAGATAAGAAAAAGTTAAATTGGGTGGTATCCGTGTCCAATTTTAATGTCATTTAAAAATGGAATCAGATCACTTTGCCCTCAGGGAAGCAATTACCAAGTGATATCCCCAGAGCTTAGCCAGAAACAAATATCTCCTTTTGTGACTGGGGGTTGGGAGTGGGTGTTATTAAATTTAATTGCTCAGGAAGAAAAGACCCTTACCAGCTGATGGCTAGTAAACCCTTAGTATGGGTAATGGGAACTATCTGGATATATTTATTGTAACTCTGAAAAGGCATGTGGTTCTTAATAAGATGTCAAGTTAAATAGGACAATTCCTGTACTCTCTTCTCCAACCCTGAAAATGCTACATAATTGAGAACTGATGGAGTCTACACACAAATAACAACCAAAGATATAAAACACAACTCTGAAAAGCCCCTAAGAAAATAGAGGTAACTGGGTTCCAGAGTGAGGGATGGAAGATGGCCACTTACAGCAGAGATATGTGTACACGAATGGAAGAGAGACCTTGATACCTCTACCGTTCTCTCTACCAGCTGTGTCCTGTATGGATCACTGCTGAAGCACCAAGGCCAGCAATGGCTGGAGGCACCATAACAAGACAGAGCTGTCGCCCAGAACTAAGAAACACAGCTCATCAGGCTGGTCACTCCATCACCTCTCCACTGCCCAGAGAGAGAACAACAAAACCAGAAGCCAGTTTCTCAGGAAAGAACCGAACAACAAAAACATATTTTTAAAAAAAAACTATTAAAAAAAAACAACTCCTGACTAGAATGGTCAAGGGAAAACAAAGACGTACAAACGATAGGAAAAGAAAAGGGAAACATGATGATAGATACAAGTAGGGATTTTTTTCAAAAGGATTTGGATAAGTCGGTGGTAGAAGCAGTATAGTTTTTTAATTTCTCCGAATCTCCACATAAAAAAAGAGTGAGAGAGCAAAATCAAATCCCACAATCTCCGCAACAAAGTAAAGTTTTTTAAATTTTTTTTTTCAACATTTATTTATTTTTGGGACAGAGAGAGACAGAGCATGAACGGGGGAGGGGCAGAGAGAGAGGGAGACACAGAATCCGAAACAGGCTCCAGGCTCTGAGCCATCAGCCCAGAGCCCGACGCGGGGCTCGAACTCACGGAGCGCGAGATCGTGACCTGGCTGAAGTCGGACGCTTAACCGACTGCGCCACCCAGGCGCCCCTCCGCAACAAAGTAAAGTGGCAAGGTGTCTCACAAACCCCACCGTATAAGCAGGCGAGGACAAACCACCAACCTCCACAGACCTGTGGTTGACACCTGTGTGGAAGTAACAGGACATCTGACCGGCCTAAGGAAAGGAGCCCCCCCAAATGCCCACAAGTTCCCACTGGAAAGTGTGGTGGGCCAATTTAAGAGCAGCAACTGAACTGCCCAGTCCAGCAGCAGGTCCATGCACAGGCTCACAGTAACTAGACCAGAACTAAAGGGGCTGTGTCACTTTAATCGTGTATAACAACAACAACAACAACAACAACAAAACAGTGAGTGTTCCAGTAGTTCATGATAGTTCACTTAGGCAACAAATGAAAATCTACATAAGGAAGTAGTTCTAGGAATTGAAGAAACTCAAAATCTAAGGATGCTCAGTTGCTGCATAAAGTTTGAAAAAGCATCTGATTGAACAATTTGATATTATTTTTTTTTTTTTAAATTTTTTTTTCAACGTTTATTTTTTTGGGACAGAGAGAGACAGAGCATGAACAGGGGAGGGTCAGAGAGAGAGGGAGACACAGAATCGGAAACAGGCTCCAGGCTCTGAGCCATCAGCCCAGAGCCCAACGCGGGGCTCGAACTCACGGACCGCGAGATCGTGACCTGGCTGAAGTCGGCCGCTTAACCGACTGCGCCACCCAGGCGCCCCTGAACAATTTGATATTATAATTTTAAGCTAGAAAATGATAAAAATGTCTCATGTGCTTTATGGTTTCTTGGAAAGACAAGAGCAAAAGGTAGAAGAAGCCTTTTGAAGAAACTTCATTCCCAATTAGGACTCTATGATTGATAATTATTTGAATGTAGGTGTAAGGACTGACATGATATAGAATAGTTCTTCGGCATTTGTCATTCCAGGTTTCTACCACTATATATCTACAGCAATTCCACACTCCAAGGCAGGCAGCAATTTAAAATTTCTGAGACCCAAACATAAACTGAAGCCAAGGTGCAGATGAAAGTCATGTGGCCAGATTTACTGCTTGCCTACTATCACATCTCAGAAGCGAGAAACTCTTGCTCTTCACCCTTCATACTTAATGACTTTTGAATGAGAGATTAAATACTATAGTGGAGTTCACAAATTCGTGGATTCACAAATGTCTTAAGACAGCTCTCTCTCTCAATGTCAAGGATCTTTTGTACCTGTAATCTGTCTGGACATTTCTTATGCAAACGTGGGACTAAATATAAAGAGTTATCTTCTAGTTACAACTGGCTAGTGTACCCTGGTTTCCATTAACACAATCCTAAGAAAGGATGGTTATCCTAGATTAAAGCATCAAACTCCAGCAGATATTCAAGTCTATAGAAAGTTCCTTTATTATATATTTATAAAAGGCTCACTAGAAAATTTCATAGACTGCTTGATTCCTAAAAAGTAACTTTTTAAGTGTCAAACATAATAGATACACATACTTTGGTCTCTAACACCCCAATGTGCTTTACTGCACAATTCCTCCATATGACGAATACACAAATTCCTATTTACTTGCGTTGACTTAGGAACTGTTCTAACAATTGTATCACAAGTCAAAAGCAAGTAAGAGAGTTATGCATCTAAAGAATAAAATTATCATTTACTCATCAGTTTGCCTCTTAGCACATTTTTTCTTTAGACTCAATTTCAATTCTCTATTATGCCAATATACTATCTTAAGAATACGCTTTTCTTAAAATTCAAGACTAAAAGAAATTCACTGTAGCTTAAAGTAGTACTTGTAGAAGATTAAAGTTAACTTCTTGATCCTTTATAATTCTTTATAATTCTATAAAAACTTTCAAATACTGTAGAATTATGTGAAAAAATAAATACCCTAGCCCATTACTAATTTATTCTGTTTAATTTGCCAACTTTCCAAATCTTAAACACACAGAATAGATTCATTATTTACTAGAAAATGTTAACATTTTTGTCTCCATTCATAATAATAATTTTCCTAATTCCACTATTAGACCACTGTACAAGTTAAATTATATTTCAATTTTGGCTTGGGCCTGATAGTTCTGAAACTTATTTCACTGAAGTTTAAAATGATTGTAACTACTAATCCTGGGACTCATCCTTCAAAAACTATTTCAAATCATTAATTAAATCCTATAAGAATTTCTTATTATTTATCAGAATAGAATTCTATTCCTATTGTTTTTACTATGCTTTTGTTTTCAAACATCCTTTGTTGAAATCTGAAATTATTGTTTTATAGTGTTAAGTGCTTCTAAATGATAAGGTACTGTTAAGATTTATTGTGAGAGAGTAATAAGAAATCAACTAATGAAGATGCAAAAATCAGCAGAAAAACAAACAACCCTACACTCTGTTACCAACTTTCAGGAGGAAAGAATAAATTATAAAGGCAATAAGTCATTAGAAATACAAAAACAGCTCTCATAATATGGCCGGAGTACAAAACCATCTGACCCTAAGTATTTTCACAAATCATCATTATGTTAACTTTTTAAAGGCCGTAAGATTTCAAGAGATTTAAATACACTCATATGCTATATTTACCATATAAGGAAAGTATAACACTATACTCCAAAATGGTTTTAATATTTTTTTTGTTATTTGACTCTTCATTAACAATAAATCTCACTATGGATATCCTATTTTCTATGCTTTCTCAGTAGGATTTCATTATAGCATGTTAATAGTAGTGTCCGGTTATTAGTTTTATTACAGCATGACATTAAGTCTTCAAACTAGGGGCGCCTGGGTGGCTCAGTCGGTTGAGCACCCGACTTTGGCTCAGGTCACAATCTCACAGTTCGTGGGTTCAAGCCCAGCATAGGCTCTGTGCTGACAGCTTGCTCAAAGCCTGGAGCCTGCTTCAGATTCTTTGTCTCCTTCTCTCTTTGCCCCTCCCCCACTCACGCTTTGTCTCACTCTGTTTGTCAAAAATAAACATAAAAAATAAAAACAAAAGACTTCAAACTATTTTTGATAAGGATCTAGTCTCCAGAACATAATAAACAACTCTTACAACAACTTAAAGACAAATAAACCAGTTTAAAAATATTTTTAACAATTTTAACTTCTCAGACATTTCTCTGAAGAAGATACATAAATGGCCAATAAGAACTTGAAAAGATACTCCATATAATTAGGTAAACACAAACCCAAACCACAATCTAATACCACTTCACATCTACAAGGGTGGCTATAATCAAGATGACAGGTAATAACAAGTACTGAGAAAGAGGTGAAAAAACTGGACACCTTACATATTGAAGCACTTACACATACAAAACATGGATGAACCTTGACAGCATTGTTACATAGAAGAAGCCAGATACAAAGGGCACCTACTGTATGGTTCCACTTACAAGAAATATCCCAAACACAAATCCATAAAGACAAAGTAGATTAGTGGTTGCCAGAGGCTAGGGAGAGAGAATGGGGTTCTTTTGAGGGGATAAAAATGTTCTGAAAATAGACAGTGTTGTTGATGGTTATAAAACTCTATGAATACACTAAAAACCACTGAATTATACACGTAAGGAAAGATGACTTGTATACTGAAAATGACAAAGCATTTTTAAAAGAAATGAAGAAGACCTGAATAAACTGAAAAACGTCCTGTGCTTATGGATTGGAAAACTTAAGATGACAATAATCCCCAAATTAATTCACAGATTCAATATAATCCCTATCAAAATTGGCTTTTCTTTTTAATGTTTATTTTTGAGAAAGAGCAAGTGGGGGAGGAGCACAGAGAGAGGGAAACACAATCCAAAGCTGGCTCTGCACTGTCAGCTCAGAGCCTGATGTGGGGCTCAAACTCACAAACCACGAGATCATGACCTGAGCTGAAATCAAGAGTTGGACACTTGGGGCACCTGGGTGGCTCAGTCAGTTAACTGTCCAACTTCAGCTCAGGTCATGATCTGGTGGTTCATGAGTCTGAGCCCCACGTCAGGCTCTGTGCTGATAGCTCAGAGCTGCTTAGAGCCTGCTTTGGATTCTGTGTCTCTCTCTCTCTCTCTCTCTGCTCCTCCCCAGCTTGTGTTCTCTCTCTGTCTGTCAAAACTAAAATAAACATTAAAAATTAAAAAAAAAAAAAGAGTTCGACACTTAACTGAGCCACCCATGCAACCACGAAATAAGTGGCTTTTTAAGGAGTGCACTTCTGATGAGCACCAGGTATTGTATGGAAATGTTGAGTCACTATATTGTACACCTGAAACTAATATTATACTGTGTTAACAGGAATTTAAATTAAAATAAATTAATTAATTAATTAAATAAATCCACCTGATTTTAAACAGAAATTGACAAGTTGATTCTAAAATTCATATGGAAATGCAAGGGACCGAGAAAAACAAAACCAATCTTGAAGAAGAAAAAAAAAAAAAAAAGAGGACCCACACTTTTCAATTTCAAAACCTACTACAAAGCTACAGTAATTAAGACAGTGTGAGCATAAGAATCAACAAATATGTCAATGATAGAATTAAGAGTCCAGAAATAAATCCTCACATTTATGGTCAATTGATTTTTAACAAGGGTGCCAAGACAATCCCAAAAGGCAAGAATAGTCTTTTCGACAAATTGTGCTAGGACAGCAGCTGGATATCGACATCTGAAAGAGTGAAGCTGGACCCCTATACTCATACCATATCCAAAAATGAAGTCAAAATTGATCACACACCTAAATGTAGGAGCTAGACGTATAAATTCATAGAAGAAAAACAGGTTTAAATCTTTGAGACTTAGAATTAGGCAACAGTTTATTAGGTATGACACCTACAGCCTAAGCAACAATAGGAAAAAAGATAAATTGGACTTCATCACAATTTTTAAATTTCTGTGCTTCAAAGGGCACTATCAAGCAAGTATAAGGCTAACCTACAGAAAGGGAGAAAATATTTCCAAATCACATATCTAATAAGAGCCTCATACCCAAATTTATATAAAAAATAATAAAAAGACAAATAACCCAGTTTTTAAAATGGCCAAAGGATCTTAACAGTTCCACAAAGAAGATCTACAAATAGCTAACAAGCATATGGAAAGATGTTCAACATCACCAGTCACCAGGAAATGTATACTGAAACCATAATGAGAAACCACTAGGATGGCTATAATTAAAAAAACACATGTTGATGAGGATGTGGAGAAATCGAAATTCTTGGGGTGTCTGGGTGGCTCAGTCAGTTAAGTGTCTGATTTTGGCTCAGGTCATGATCCCTGGTTCACAAGTTGAACTCCCACATCGGGGGCTCTGTGCTGACAGCTCAGCGCCTGGAGCCTGCTTCAGATTCTGTGTCTCCCTCTCTCTCTACCCCTTCCCTGCTCGCACTGACTGTCTCTCTCTCTCTCTCTCTCTCTAAAATATACAGACATTAAAGAAAATTTAAAAAAAAGAAAAGAGGGGCGCCTGGGTGGCGCAGTCGGTTAAGCGTCCGACTTCAGCCAGGTCACGATCTCGCGGTTCGTGAGTTCGAGCCCCGCATCGGGCTCTGGGCTGATGGCTCAGAGCCTGGAGCCTGTTTCTGATTCTGTGTCTCCCTCTCTCTCTGCCCCTCCCCCGTTCATGCTCTGTCTCTCTCTGTCCCCAAAAAAATAAATAAACGTTAAAAAAAAAAAAAAATTAAAAAAAAATAAAAAAAAAAAGAAAAGAAACTGAAATTCTCATATATATAGCTGGTGAGAACATAAAATAGCACAGCTTCTTTGGAAATAGTCTGGCAGTTCCTCAAATGTAAGCACAGAGTTACTATATGACCCACCAATTCCACTCCCAATTATACACCCAAGAAAACTGCAAACAGATACTACACAAAAGCGTGTACACAAATGTTCAGAGCAGCATTATTCACAATAGTCAAAAATGGAAACAATCTAAATTCAATCAACTGATAAATGGATAGCAAAAAGTGATAAATTTATACTGTGAAATATTAGTCATCTGAAGAAATGAAGCACTAATATATGCTATAGCATGGATGAACTCTGAAAACATGCTAAGCCAGAAAAGGGAGCATATTGTAATGATTCCATGTCTATGAAATATCAAGAAGAGGCAAATCCTTAGAGACAAAATGCAGATTAGTGGTTGCCAGGAGCTAGAAAGAAAGGGAAAGAGGAGTGACCGCTCATGAGCATGGGGTTTCTTTTTGAAGGGATGAAAATGTTGTGTGATTAGACAGTGGTGATGGCTATACAACTCTGTGGATATACTAAAAATCACTGCATTGTACACTTATAAAAGGGTGAGTTTTATCATGTGAATTACATCTCAATTTCTAAAATAAATACATTTTGAAAATTAATTACATGGTGGCTTTAGTTACTTAAAGAAATACCACATAACATTTCTTTTCCATAATCTAACCTACATAATCCTTCTCTACAAAGAAATATACCAGCATAATTACTGTGCCAGAACAGTAAGAGGAAAGCATTAATACAACTGAAACCAATTTCAGAGTAAATTATTAAAAGTCGCTTTTAAGAATGCCCATCTTCCACTAATCTTACCAATTTTCAAATCATCAGCCAGACTTTCTTTGGTGAGATTCAACAATTCTCTTCCATCAATGTTATTCATTTTGAAAATACCAACAAGGTCATTTAAACCTTGGGCACAAAGCCACACTGAAACATCATCCTCTGACCAGTCTTCAGGAAATTGCTTCGCCTCGTCTTCTGTGCTCCTTGCTTAAAAACAAACCCACAAACAGAAAGGCAGGTAAAATAACAATGAAGGAAAGTATTGCCTTTATGAATATTCTCACTGAGAATTAAAAACTAAATAAAATTTCCTTAAAGCTGTGTTTTAGCAACCTTTTAAGAAATTTCAAAAAAATCAAATAACACTATGTACAGTTACAATATTATTTAATACTATATTAAATACTACTCTCTTGGAACTTTTCAGTCTAGAAAAACAATTTTTTATTATATAAAATTCATATCAGCAAAAGTACTCTGCTCTATCGTCTGCATATCAGCACCACTATTCGGTTAATTCTGACAGTAATAAAAGTAAAATTCCTAAATTATGTGTCAACATTGCTTGATGAGGCCAAAAATAAAACGAACAAAGTAAAACTCTGCTTTCTATTTTGTTCTCAGGCTATATTTATCTGAAAAAGCAGTATGCGTACAAATAAATAGCTTATAAAAAAATTGGGAGGTAGGATTTCCATGAATGTGCTCCTAAAAGGATTTACCAACAGCTTTAACATATATAAACTACTTGAAACACTAGATTCTCTAAAATTATTTTTAAATTATACATTCGGATATACACTTCATATTGAGAAAAAGCAAAGTGAGTAATTTGTTAAAAATTTACGTGATTTAAAAAAATTTTTTTTAATGTTTTTTTATTTTTGAAAGAGAAAGAGTGTGAATGGGGGAGGGGCAGAGAGCGAGAGGGAGACAGAATCTGAAGCAGACTCCAGGCATCGAGCTGTCAGCACAGAGCCTGACTTGGGCCTCAAACTCGTGAACCATGAGATCATGACACTTAACTGATTGAGCCACCCAGGTGCCCCCAAAAATTACAGGATTTTTTAATTTAACGGTGAATGGGATTGAACTGGGTTAAATATGATGCCCTTACTAACCTTGGCAAGGTGTTTCCAGATCAAATTGCCAGATGTTCACTGTTTTGTCCATTGAACCAGTAGCAAGTAAAAGGATATTGGGTGCAAAGGCACAAGTTGTGACATACCTAGTTAATAAAAACAACTATTATGTATCCTCAGACTAAATTTTTTATTATATTAATACAAAATGAGGTTAAGTTCAGACCTGGTGTGCTGAGTCAATGTGTGAAGTATATTCTCAGTATTCTGAAAAACAATAAAAACAGCTTTACATTTACTCAGGCAGGAGTAAAGTTACTGATAAAGGCTCATTTGACATAAATAGTTTATATGATACCAGTATTTTATTATAATTAGTCACTAATGTAAGTTGAAACTTTACCCCAAAAAAAGAGAACAGCCTCTATAACTAATAATATTATCAGGTACTTATTTCACTCTCAGTAATTAGCACTGTTGTCTGCTGACCACCCTCCTAGAAATTTTTAGTATAATAGATCCTGGGCTTCTGCTGATGGTTTTGAATTTACTAACAGTAGCCTAAACATCTATTACATGAAATGACCTGTATTTTTGCTATGGCATTTGACTTGTACCCAACTGCAGGACCGGTGAAGAGAAATTAGTCACTTAGATTTTGAGTACACTTAGCTGGCCATCTAGCATCTAGATGTATTTATTAATTTTTAAAAAGTGAAGTATAGTTCACAGTGTTATATTAGTTTCAAATGTACAATTAGTTGTATTTAGCTGAGATTCATATACATATTTTATGGAGGAAGTTTAGTGTTCTAGCTATTCTTGTGAACGTAAAATCTTAAGCAAATTTGTTGAGAAACATTCAGGATCTACTTCACCCAGTTTGTATTCTTTTCCATCTCCTGCAGAGCACTCCACGATTTGAATTCCCACATAGAAGACTAGTTTAGATTCCTTGCTTGACCGACTACACTTTGATGATTAACATCTCTGGTTCATTTGCTAGCACGCTGCTGCCTGAACTCCATCATTGTAAGGCTCCATTCAACATGGATTTCTCTTGAGGAATATTTTCATCAACCACATCTTTGCTACATGTAAAACGTTCATTTTTTTTTTTTCATACTCATGCAACTCGGTCTTTATTCATATGGCTCTACCAAAAACTGCCATTTTCCCAAGTCTATTAAAACTTACTCTTCCTTCTATCAGTCTCTAAAGCCAGCCAGATCTCTACCAGTGGTAGCCCCTTTCAGCATCCACAACCCTGGGGTAAATATTCATTCTTTGCTATTATGGAAACCTGGTATAAAAATTTAAGAAAAATCAATTTGAAGTGTTTTTTGTTTTGTTTTTTTTTTTTTGGATATTGGTGCTCTTTAAATCTGTATTTTCTTTGATCAGATTAATCATCTATCTTAGACATCTATCCATCTTAAAATCATTACTGAAATATTTAAGGGCCTGTCCCAGAACCAATAACTTGCATAACTATCTTAGCACTTTTGAAAATGTATATTCTTAGGCACTCTAAAAAGAAAAGAAAGTATTTTATCCATCTTGCCTAACAAAACTTGAAGTTCAGTACCCTAATAAACATAATTTACACGTATCACACATGCAAGATTTTGAAATACTTACAGTATCATACACTATGACAGATTTATCCACTGATCTTTAAAAGAAAAAGGAAATTATGGGTGAGAAGTTCTATAAAAGCCAGGTAGTTATTAATATTTTTAAATCATTTAAATAACTTTTTTAGAAAAGGCTGAGATACTGATATACAAACATTTAGAATGCAAGCTTTTTGTTCATATGTATGAACTTTTATTCAAAAGACTACATGCCACATATAAAATTTTTCAGAAAATTATAAACTTTATTAAATACTAGTTTATTACTACTTTATTAATACTAGTATATGCTATTTATACCATCTAGCCATAAACAGAGTAAGCATTTATGATGTATAAATAAGACATAATCCCATATCAAGTTAATAACTCAAAGGGAAAAACCACTATAAGGGAAAGCTATTTATAATTGACCCTCAAACAATGAAGGGATAGGGGCATTGATTCTCCTCTTCCCCATGCGGTTGAAAATCTATGTATGAGAAAGACAGATAACCATAGGATTTTTACCCATATATGGAATTTAAGAAACAAAACAGATGAACATAGGGGAAAGGAAAAGAGAGACAGAGAGAGAAGAAAGCAAACCATAAAAGACTTAACTATAGAGAACAAACTGAGGGTTGATGGAGGGAGGTGGGCAGGGGATGGGCTAAATGGGTGATGGGTATTAAGGAGGGCACTTGTGTTGAGCACTGGTTGTTATATGTAAGTGATGAATCACTAAATTCTACACCTGAAACCAATATTACCATATATGTTAATTTCTAACTAGAATTTAAATAAAGACTTGAAATAAAAAACAAAAATTTAAAAATAAAAACTATGTGCAAATGTATATCTAGCTATATGGATATATGCATAAATACATGTATGAATCACAAAAATATTCTTGTCAAAAATGATACTATGAGCTACAATTCAAATCTCATTTAAGAAAAAAGAAAATCCACGTATAACTTTTGACTCTTCAAAAACTTAACTACTACTAAGCCTCCTGTTGACTGGAAGCTTTACCAACAACAAATAGTTGATTAACACATATTGTGTATGTTATATGTATTCTATACTGTATTCTTACAATAAAGCTAGAAAAAATAAAATGTTAAGAAAATCTTAAGAGAAAATACTGTACTGTACCAAAAAAACTGCATATAAGTAAACCCATGCAGTTCAAACCCATGCTGTTCAACGGTAAACTATACTTGTTACTTGGTTTTTGTTTCAAACATCATTGTTCTTTATCATTAATATAGCCATGACTTAATTACCAACCTCTCTCTCTACACACACACATACAAACACACACACACACACACACACACACA